TGAACAGGTGATGGATCAACTGAAAGGCCAGATGCATCTCTTAGGCCATGTGCCAGGTCTTTGCTGGACCCCCCCCCCCTATTTCTTAAGGACATTACATTTAAATACTGTTCATTTGCTGTACATAGTTGGAAGCAAAACATAAATACATAAAAAAAACTTTTGCATTTGACTGTGGATCTTACCAATATTGGAATCCCGGAACCTCTGTTTTTTAAAGGTGTTCAGGCCGTTTTAAAGACAAGCTTATCATTTTAACTGCTCAGTTTTCCTATGAAACTGTTTGTCATCATGAGCCGCCGCTGCTGACCTCATTATGTCAACATACTGCTGGTTTTTACTGTAACACATTAAGAATTTTATTTAGACCGGCACAGGTCTGTGTATTTCTGAATGCTCAAGCTAACGTTACATTTAAGTACTATAGAAATGAACTCAACAGAATATCATCTATATTGACTCAGACTAAAGACATTACAGCAGTAGCAAGGGCCCTGCAGTTAAATGGTACATTAGAACCCAGCAATAAAATGTTTGATTTATTTTTTTTACAAGAGAACAAAAGCCAAGACTGGTAAAATGGCTGTAATAAGCCTACTGTGAGCTGGTATAGTTCAAGATTATTTATTATTTTTAAATGCCCCATTCCTTTATTGTGCTGTGAAAATATTGCTAAAATAAAGAACGTGTCTCTCATGTCAAATAAATATAAGTAGCCATGTTTTTTCACTCTTAGAAGATTAGAATAATTCAAATTATAGCAGTGGAAGTGATTATTTTATCTTAAATTGTATTTGACTTTATATTGGAACTGTCTGTTTTAACATTGTGTGTCTGACAAGGTAATCAGCAACACAGAGGCACCACAAGGGACTGTCCTCTCCCCCTTCCTCTTCACCGTCTACACCACAGACCTAGGCCACTGCACAGAGACCTGCCATCTTCAGAAGTTTTCTGAAGATTGCGGTGGTTGGATGCATCAGCAGGGATGATGAGACAGAGTACAGGGCTGTGGTCGACTCCTTTGTCACATGACGGGAGCAGAATAATCTGCAGCTTACCGTGGTAAAGACCAAGGAATTGATTGTGGACTTCAGGAAGACCAGGAAACATTTGGCCCCCTGTTTAATCCAGGGGGTCAATGTTGACATTGTGGAGGACTATAAATACCTCGGAGTATACATAGACAATAAACTGGACTGGGCTAAAAACACCACAGCACTTTACAGGAAGGGCCAGAGTTGTCTCTATTTTTTGAGGCAGATGAGGTCCTTCAACATCAGTCGGACAATGCTCAGGATTTTCTACGAGTCTGTGGTGGCCAGTGCAATCCTCTACGCTGTTGCATGCTGGGGGAGCAGATTGAGGGTTGCTGATGCCTACACTCAATAAATTGATCTGCAAGGCCAGCAATGTTGTGGGGAT